TTATTTTTTTTTTCTTTTTTTTTTTTTTTTTACCTAAATGCGTGTTCCCTATCTTGTTACCTTTTAACTGTCCGAATTTTGTTGTTGATCACATATTTTTTTAACAATAGGTATTCGTTAAAACATTTTAAAAATTGATTCTGCCCCTCTCCCTCACACATCTTGTGTATATTTTTTTTTACAAGCCTTCAACGTAATCATTATTTTTGTTCCAGGTCATTAGAAATTGCATTCGTTCCTGGTGCTGCAAAGACAAAGTATTTGGTTACACGGAGTGCCGGAATATGACCTTCACCTTGGCCGCAGAGGCTCTGGTTGGTTTCCGGGTTCAGCCCAAGGAGTATCCCGAGCTCCTGGGGGTGTTTGAAGTCTTCGCCAACAACCTATTCTGTCTTCCCCTTCTGTGCCCGGGGATGGGGCTAGCCAAGGTGGGTGTTTGCACAGCATCTGTCTTAGGTTATAGATGTCATGAGATATAGATTTTAAAAAAAAAGAATTTAACAGAGGCCTTTTAGGGAAACCGCTCGGGTTTGTCTGTAACTAGACTTTCAACACCTATTATGCGGAAAGGTACACAGCCGCTTCCCAGGCCAGGGTATGTAAGATTATACTTCAAAAGCTTTTTAAAAAATAATAAATCGCCTTCAAACTGCCCAATGGTACCTGCAGCAAGTTTTCTGCTGTTTATCGATTTCTCATGTTACTGCAATCTCATTTCTCTTTGAATCCTACATGTTTCTACTCCAGAAACTCCCACTTAATTACTTTCCACACGGCGTCCCTCTAAATGTTATTAATTATATATACCGGTAGCGACTTCATTTATTTATTTTTTTTTTTAATTTCCATAGGGTATGTCAGCACGTAAACTACTTTTAAAGAAGATCCAGGAATGTCTGGAGAGTAAGAAGCGGGACGCCGCCGCAAACCAGTCTCTCCTGAACTCGGGCGAAGGTGAAGACGCACTCTCCAGGCTGATGAAAGCCAGTGGCGAGGACGCTCTCACCGACAGCGAGCTGAAAGACCTCAGTTTGGAGTTGCTGTTTGCTGGACACGCCACGACGGCCAGTGCTGCTACCTCGCTTGTGATTAAGCTCCATGAACACAGGTGGCTGTTTGAGTGAACATTAAAATATCCTGTGTAACTTTAAAACTAAGATAATTAAATTACACGCCTTTATACCTAATAGAAATATTTTAACATGGGAATCAATGTTTGTTTTTTTTTTTGTTTTTTGTTCAGTGATGTCCTTGAAAAAGTTCTCAGAGAACTTGATGGGTTTGGACTCGTGGCTGGAGAACAAAGGGACCTGACCCTGGCTCAGCTGAGGCAACTGGAGTACACAGGGGCGGTAATCAAGGAGGTTCTGCGTTTATTGCCCCCAATCGGGGGTGGCTTTAGGAAAGTGATCAAGACATTTGAATTGAATGTAAGTGTCTGGTTTATCGCTTGACGGCCATTGTTTGGACCTCGTGATATGATGATAGCGGTGTGCACATTTGTAGGTATCGTTAAAAGTAAATGTGTTGAAGTGGACAGTTTAGATTCGTGATTTCATGCCTAAGAATAATAATAAAGACTATTTGAAAATCACGCTTCATCCCCAAAGGCTCGAAGCGCAGTATATACCACTTTGAACTAATTGAAGTACACAATGTAACATTACAAAACTACATACGAGAATACCCATTCTAAGTCTTTCATACCTTGCAACCATAAACAACACAGGCCAATATACATCTAGAAGATAATAGCTAGATAGACAACAGCAGTTGTTTGCGAAATAGTCTTCAGTTTTGAGAGACTCCAGTGTCTGGCTATTTCTGAGAGCGATAGGAAGGGTTGATTGATGGAAGTGGGTTGGGGGAATCCAGCAAGGATGTCCAGTCATTAGGGTAAAAGCTGTCACGCTGACCTCTAGCATCTGTTATGCTGGCTTTCATATCATTTATTCCCCCACCCCATTTTTTTCTCCCAAAACATCATAAACATTCAAATTTTCCCCCGTTTCATCATTAGCTTGAAGTATAAACACTTTTTTAAATGAATCACTTTGAATTTTTAATCGATTACTTTAATACACCGTCCATGTGATCATTTGCACACATTTTTTTTTTTTTATTTCTAGGGCTATCAGATTCCAGAAGGATGGACAGTGGCCTACAGCATTCGGGAGACGCACCAGACCAGCCCGATGTTCCCCAACAACCAGCAGTTCAACCCCGACCGTTGGCTGGCGAAGGGAGACGATGAGAAGTTCCATTACCTGCCCTTTGGCGGTGGTCCCAGGATGTGTGTTGGCAGGGAGTTCGCCCTTCTTGCACTGCGCGTGTTCGTGGTGGAGCTAGTCCGTTCCAGCACGTGGAGCTTGATGAACGGCGAGTGCCGAATGAGTTATCTGCCCGTGCCACATCCTGTTGACGGCCTTCCGGTTCGATTCACTGAACGAGATCTGACCAAAAGACAAGAAGCTGCTGCTATTTAGAAATAATGTCATTGTTCATATTATGAAAATGACTTTTGCCATATAGTTATTTTTTTTATTTTTTAAATTTTACAGCTTTATGCCAACGTGCCAAAAATCATTTCTTCTTGACAACACCTAAATCATTATTTGAAAGTATTTTTTTAATGACATAGACCTACCAGTGTGTCATTTATCCATTACCCTAGCAAAGAGGACGTGACCATTGACCGGCACGCGGGCTCTACAATGGGACAAAGCTGTAGGCTCAAATATTTATTTGAAATGCCACAGTTTCATGTAACCAGCAAATTCAGAATATTCTATTTGCCGCAAATATTCCCCTTGCCTCAAATATTCCCCTTGCCTCAAATATTCCCTTTGCTAATGATCAGCTTATTTTTAACCAATTAAATCTCAGATAACTTTGTAAGGTACGCATATGTGCTACAATCCTCCCGTACTCAGTGATCACTGAGAAAAACTTTAATTACACTAAAATGATTCAATTGGTCCTAGTCTAAGACACAATAAAAATCACATCAACTTGTTAGAATGTTTTACATATAATATGTATATATACTCTATAGTTTTGGCTTACATTCATTGGGTGGAACAAGAAAAAACAACACAATTTATAAGCTAACCAAAAGTATGTCTTAATTTGTATATAGCAAGCATTGCAATTTTTTTTTCTCCTTATAAGGCACGCATTCAAAAACGCTTGAGTCACAAGCCCCCCCCCCTCCCTTTCTTTTTCCACCTGTTAATGGTGTTCTGAAAAAAAGAGAATAAAGTTGTACTTGATCAAACGCAGCCCTCAAAGAATCGTGACAAATGAATATGAAATAATTTTTTTTTTGATTGAGAGATATGCGAAATATTTTATTTCTGTAAAATATTTGTCTCTCCTTAAGTAACACACCATGGGAATGACTCTTTTCCCCACCATTATTTTTTAACCCCACCCATCTTTTCCAACACCCACCCGGTGTCACATAATATACAATTAACCATATAATGCAATAATGTTTAAATTGTTTAAAATTTTATATTTATCTGACATACGTTCAACCTTAAGGGAAGATTTAAAATACATAACTCATACTCCCCCCACCCACCTTCCCCAACCTCCTCACTCCCTAATCTCCACATTCCTCCATCCACACACACACACACACTTTTGCAATGTATATATCTTCTTATATTTGAACTGCCTCCAGATTTTCTGTATTAAAAATCACAAATTAGCCTCCTTGTCGTTTTCTAATGTCCAATGATCACGTTTTCTTGTTGTTGTTTGACTTTTACTCCTCAGCAGTTGCTTTTGGGTTATAATATACAAAAGCCAGATTATTGAGGTCACGAGACCAAGTCACCATCTTATATATATATATATGGTGTAGGAGCGTATACGGGACATACATACAGACAGGCATTCATTTATATATTTATATGCGCCCCTACACCATTCATACGATTGCGATAAAACTTTAAGTTGTTGTCCACAGGCCCGCGCATTTTTCTATGACACTAAAACCCGTTTAAAATATTCTGTTTTGAGCCGTTGGCCCTAAATTCGTTTTTTCCCCTCATATGAGCTTTGTACAAAAATAATTTCCGCATTGCGCTCCTACACCTTTTATCCGAATGCGATAAAACTTTGCGCACGCCCGCAAAGGCTTTTTAATTATTACAAACATTTTAAAATATTCCGCTTTAAGCCAGGGGCCCTAATGTTCCTTTTTTCTCTTATATGAGTTATATAAATAATATAAAACCTATGCGCTCCTATATCATTCATCTGACTGCGATAAAACTTTGATATAATTAAAGGTCTGCTTTCAAGCTATAAGTAAATGAAATAACCAAACGAGGTATGTTGAAGCTTGAATCAACTGACAGGGCAATTAGAACGTTTCGGCATAGAGCCTTCTTCAGCGCACAGGACAAATGAAAATATCCCAAGGAACAGAGCACAGTAAACAACTCGAGAAATATCCATTGTTGTTGCCAGAAGTAAGATTACAGGAAGTGAGAATGTACATATTGACATTGAAAAATAAGGTCCACACTTTTATAATGGAGCAAAATATCCAGGGATACATAAAAACAAAGCAATAAGAAAATTTTAATGGTAGAAATGTAAGGAAATAAAAATTTGTAGGAAAGTATTTGGTTAATACCATATGGAGATATGGTGCCAAAACGGCTGAATAAATCTATTTTCCATTTCAACCCTCTCTGATATGTTAGTGCGGGAAATCAGTGCCGCAATGGTTACATCTAATGCACCTTATGATTATGTTCATCTCTGTTGAAATGTGCAAGAGACTGGGGAAAGTTTACCTTGTTCCATCAGCCTTTCAGCCAGTTCAACCTATGTAACTAGCTCGGCATCCACGGTACACAATCGCATATATCACGTTACAGCTGACGCATGTGAAACTCTCTTTAATGGTAAAGGTACCTCTTAGTGAGGCCAATGCTTTCAGTTTGGAGTGTAAAGGGACAAGTCCTGCAGCGGCTTCTTAACGCATGGTTTAGTACCAAAGTAAACGGGTCAGATCGAAGGCGACTATGAACCAGAAGGTCACCTAGATTCTTATCCCGTCTAAAGACAATCAGTGGAGGTGATGAGAATACCCTGTTAGTATCAGAGTTTAGCAAGAAGTATGCCACGATTTTTTTAGGAATTTTTTTTTTGGGGGGGGGGGGCAGTTAATTGTTAATTTGTGAGGGTTGTAGGTTACCGGTAGTATAAGTTTAGTACGATCTTCATTGTTGTTTTAACGAGGTTTGAAAGCATCTTTCCGTGTGATGCGACCAAGTGCTGAGACAATAGTATTTTCAGGATAGGATCTGTAGCGGAAGAAATCCATCATTTCATCAGCTCTTTCCCAAAATTCTTCATCAAGTTGGCAGAGACGCCGTAATCTAAGAAGTTTGGTGAGTTGTTGTGATCACTCCCGAAGAGATTTCTGATCTATAGTATTACAACCATTTTAAAATATTCCATTTTGAGCCAAGGGCCCTAAATGAGTTTTTTCTTATATGAGCTATATAAATATAATTTCAAACAGAGCCTATGCATGGGTGGATAGAATTTTAATCAAATACAAAGCGACATTAAATTTTGAGTGCATGACATACTAAATAGGCTTCTGGGGCAATACAACCATTCTAAATTCGCCCCCCTCCCTATAATATATAAGTAACTGGTATATAAATATAATTACCGTATGCGTTCCTATACCATTCATTCGATTGCGATAAAACTTTGGGGAATTAATATGCGCCCGCCCGCTAAGGTTTTAAAATTAGTACAACCATTTTAAAACATCCCGTTTTGGGCCGGTGGCCCTCACTTCGTTTTTTCTTATAGGAGCTATATACATATATTTTCAAAAAAGGACTAACGCATTGGTGGATGGAATTTTAATCAAGTACAAATAGTGACATTTAAATTTTTTTGTGACATAATAAGTAGGTTTCTGAATTAGAATAACATTTCTACAATATTCAGTTTGGGGTCGGGGGCCTTTTATTATAATTTTTATTTTATTTTAATTATATGTGCTAATAAAAATATAATTTTAAACAGAACTAATACATCAGTGGTTGAAATTTAATCAAATAGAAACAGCGATATTTCCGTTTGTGTGTGACATAATTTAGCAGGTTTCTGGATTTGTGCAACCATTTTGCAATATTCAGTTTTGGACCGGGGTCCCTAAATTAGTTTTTTTCTGATATGAGCTTTTTAAATATAATCTCCGTTTGCGTTCCTATACCATTCATCTGGTTGCGATAAAAACTTTGGTGAGTTGTTGTGTGCACGCCCGCAAAGGATTTCTGAATTAGTGCAACCATTTTACAATATTCTGTTTGGGGACGGGGGCCCTAAATTCTTTTTTTTTTTTTTCTAAAGAGATTTGTAAACAAAATTTCAAGCCAAGCTATTGCATGGTTGGATGGAATTGAATCAAATACAAACTGACGGGGCCCTAAAATTTTTTATATGTACTAAATGGGCTACATAAGTATAATTTCAAATATAGCTATTTCATGGGTGGATCAATCGCTACAAGTGTGTGGACTACATTTTGAACATCACATAGACAGCTGAGTGTGGCCTGCTCACGCTTCGAAAAACCTTCTAATTTATTCGAATGCGGCCCAGACGGTAAAAAAAAAAATTGTTTTTTATAAAAAGTACTTCAAAAAACATAACTGAAACAAAAACACTTTATTTCTTTGAGTGACATTGCAACGCATGTGTTACATAATGTGCAAATAACATTTTTGTTACCATTGACTGACATGACATGAGTGTCACAATGCATTAGGTCTAGTTCAAGTGGTTCCCAAACTTTTTTTTTTTTTTTTTTTTTTTTAAATTTCGGTCGTTTGCTGAATTCTGGTTTTTCTCAACAAAGGATTCTAATAAAAATTAAAAATAATGTAAAATTAAAAATACACTGTAAAATGACGGCACCCTATTTAAAATTCAAAATACACTCTAAAATGACGGCACCCTATTTAAAATTCAAAATACACTCTAAAATGACGGCACCCTATTTAAAATTCAAAATACACTCTAAAATGACGGCACCCTATGTAAAATTCAAAATACGCTGTAAAATGACGGCACCCTATGTAAAATTTAAAGTACACAGTGAAATGACATCTTTTAAAAATACATTTTTGACCGAGTTACTCTTTTGAACCCGGTCCATTAGACTTGTGTTTCCCAAGATGGTGGTCCACGGACCCGCACAGGTCCGCGAGCCTTACGTTACCAGTCCCCACAACAGGAGGCAAGAAACTGGATCGATGTTAGACGGCCATAACAAAAAAACAAAAAAAACAAAAAAACAAAAAAATTAAATATGTACCGGTAATAACGGCTAGAATGAAATGGTTAATTAGGTAATCTCGCATTGGCTGATCAGATATTAAAAATAACTATTTTATGACATTTTTTAGGTTCAAATTTTAAAAAAAAAACAACTTAATTAATCTTCGCCGTTCTTGTAAGCACTGCAGAAACTATCCACCGTAAACCATATGTAAAACTTTTTTTTTTTTTTACAGTTTGAGTAAACAGCTGCATTAGATGTCGCATCCTACCATCGCTGACTTAGAAATTGAAATAAAATTATGATAATTTCTGTGATATTTCGCGGCGCCCTTTTGAGGACGCTCCGCGCGAGCCTAGGGAAGGAACCACTTGCTTAGTTCACTCAAGATTGGCCCTGTGTTCTCGCAATGCATAATGTTCAACGTGACACCGCTGTTCGCTGTGGACATTGATTACAGTGTGAACGAAGACGGGGGTGATTCTCTTGCCATGGGTCACACGTTTAGACAAAGAATTCACTGATGGACCATCTCAAGGATTCTTAGATCATTTGAGTGCTGAGCGCTGGGGACAGTGACCCTTGATACCCTCCCCCTCCCCAATTCCGGAGAAACTGGGGGGGGGGGTGCTAAAAGATGTGCATGTGTCCCTTTGAAAGAATAGAGTTGGTGTCGCATTGTTTTTCCTACACTCTTCAGACTAGAATTCAATTTTTTTTTTAAATGTGAGGGATGAGTCTGAGTTAGCCTCATCTGAACTGTGAGCCTCCCCACACCAACCCGCACACCCACTCACACGCCCACTCACACTCGTGGTTAATTTCTTGACCCGTAGCCCCCCACCTCTATTTGTTGACCCAAATTCCTGTCCTGGCCCAAATGTGATGCGTGCCCAGCCGATAATGCCTCCAACCTGTGGCGTGAGCCAAGCGCCACCATCTGCTGCTGCTGCTGCTGCAGCCCCGACCGCCGGTGTAATCACATTGTCAGACGCACACAAAAAAACATCAAGTCCTCGGGGCTTGTCGACAGGGGTGACACCCAAGAACTGACCCCAGGCTCTCACCCACCGCCTGGTCATATGGTCATTATCATCTTCCTGACCTCTTCAGGTGACCCATGGGCTGACCTTTGTTGGTGACAGAGGTGGGGGGGGGCAGGTTGAATGGGTAACTGGACAGTGACGTCAGGGTGGTCGGTGTAATAATTGAGAGGCTTGGCGACTACCCTGAATTTGAAGTTTGAAAAGAGGGAGAGAGGTGTAGCCTGTGTAAAGGGGGAGGGTATCAAAACTGACTTAACATTGAAACGCGTTCGTTGACGTTTAAATGCTAAGCTGAACCCTGTCTGGAGTGCACTCTAGGACATATTCATCATCTGATCTAAATTTCTAGCTCGATGTTTTTCAACATTGCTACTATGACTACTAATTCTTCTACTACTACTCCTACTACTACTACAGCTACTACAACTACTACAACTACTACTACTACTACTACGACGACGACGACTACTACTACTACTACAATGACGACTACTACTTTTACCTTTAACTACTACTACTACTACTACTACTACTACACCGATAGATGGGTGAAAATAGGAGAAATATTTCACGGGGGACTAGGAGTGCAATGTACATTTTTATTTTTATTTTGAATTCGTAATATTTATCTAAAATTCCTGGAGCAGAACAGTAAACAAATTTTGCTAAATTTATAAAAAAAAATTTTTTAAGTTTTGAGCTTTTCAGACAGAAATTATAGGCCAAATAAAGACGGTTCTTGAAGGAGGAAATTTCTGAAAAACATTTGATCTAGAAGACTCGCACTAACCCCTCGTCTCCAAAAATGAAAAAAAAAAAAAAATTATTTAAGTCATACAAAGTGCCATTCTTTTTTTTTTTTTTAAAAAAAAAAAAAAATATAATTAAAATTTGTTTGACCGGAAAAAAAAAAAAA